TGGTTCAGTGTCTGATTTTTGTCAACTGTTTGTTGCTTTTGTTTACTTCAATTGTTACTCGGTCATGACAATGCTTGATTCGATGCTGAAAATTTTTTAATTGATTGCACATTGTGCAAATTTGTTTGCCTCAAAATGTTGTTCAAACAACCAATATCCATATATGATGTTTTTACATTCTCCTAACGAGTTTGTGGTACTCAATTTGAGCAACCTACTTCTTGCTATATCCACATAAGATTTTTTTATATTCTCCTAACGAGTTTGTGGTACTTAATTTGAGCAACCTACTTCTTGCTATTATAAGTTTTTGCCAGTTGATATAGATTTATACATGAAATTGGGGTTCATTTGAGAGTAGGCCATGAATTTGTAGAAATAGAGCAAGCTTTCACGTAAGGGCATTTGTAGGCAGGCATTTTTCTAATATAAAGCAATGCTTCACATAATAAATGGTTGAATTAGGGTACATTTCTTGACTAAATGGAGTAACATTCACTTGCTTCCCACTCAACACTGCCCACAACCCCAAAAAATAAAAAATAAACCTAAATTATTGGTTTAGAATGTTCAAGTGCAAGATCGAGTTATGTAGTTAAATCCTTGACATAAATTGTTTGGCATCTATCCTCTATCTCTCCATTTTTTTTTCAAATTCATTTGCTAAACTTGCTGTTCGACATTTGGCTATGGAACTTTGTTACCTCTGACATTCTGGCAAGCCTGCTAGAATGTTTTGTTCCTGACTATGTTACTTAAAATTCCCTTTAGGCTTCAATGGTTGGCCACAAGTATGGGGTTCTACGATGGAGCAAAACTGGCAGTAAGTGCTCATTCAAATTTTTTCATGTTTTATTCTTCTTTTATCTGTAAACTAGGGTATTATATTCTCTCCTTGTCAGAGAAAACAATTGAAGGAACTGCAGCTGGTATAACTTCTGTCTTGGTCGCATGTTCTGTGCTGCTTCCCCTTTTAGCTACAACTGGGTACATTTTTAGTCAGGTCTCACTCTCTCTCTCTCTCTCTCTCTCTCTCTCTCATATGATGATGATTAAGAATTATCTAATGTTTCCGTAGTCCTCATCAGCTTCAGTTCATGTCCACTTTCCTTTAGCTGTTTCTATAGAAAGTTGAATGGATCATGATGATTTGAGTTTTTTTATTTCAGATAACTATAATAGTCCATTTGGTTTACCATACTTCTCCGTGTTTGTGTTGTGCAGCACTGGTTTTCTCTACTTGTTGCAGTGACCACTAGCGGGCTGTTGGAGGCCTATACAGCACAGCTTGATAATGCATTTATACCTCTTGTTTTCTACAGCCTACTTTGTCTGTAATGTGACTGCGTCATGCATCAGAAGTAACATAAATGAACCCATTGAGGGCCAACAACCAATTTTCTGGGTAGTGTTCTTGACTTGTGACTGTGCTTCATTGAGCACTCAGTTCGTAGATGTTAATGACATGGACCTGTCCCTTAGGCCGTAGGTTAGTCTCATCGTGCAAGAGGCCGAGTTAACCAGTTTTGATGTTGTATCATTGTCCCAGTTTTGATGTCGCATTAGTATCCTGCTAGTTGTACAGGAATAAGCACTCCATGTACAGCTTTTACTTCGCATCATGACGTAGCAGAGTCAAATTTAGGGAACTCATGTAGCAGTGTATATTGGAAGTTCTGCAATCAGTGCAGATAAATGTTGTGACATATTAGCTGGTGTTGCAATTCCTTCCGTTTATTCATATGTAGAACCCATGTTGATACCGTTCATTCTCACGATCACTGCTGTTCGTTAATGGCATGTATCTGCACAAGGCACAGTTCTTTGCAAATTGCAGGAGCGTGAAACATAAGCATTGCATAAGGTTGTTTGGCCTGGAGAGTTAATTTACATATACTTTTTTTCACCGTTAATGGAAAAGACTCGACAACTTCCCCAAGGGATCCATAAAACAAAGTGACTGCCCAGTTCTCAAATGCCTCCTCCGTTTCATCTCGGAACATTTTGGGGTGGCACATATGTAGAAAGTGTCAGTTTCAAGATCTAAATTAAGAATCAAGGGAAGCTTATTTATGTGTCCAATGCAAAATCGCGTGAGTACTAGCAATTGGCTTTTTGAAAACTGAGATCCAAATTTCTCAAATTTCCAAGTTCCATTCATTTGACAAAAGCACCTCCACTCTTAAGTCTTAACCAACAAACACAAAGGGGGAGGGAGGGACGGAGTGTTGGATTGGATAGTAAGGTACTAAGGTGAGCGAGTTTATAAGTAGAGGTTTTGAATTCAAAACTTGTCACTTAAAAAAGTTCAAAAAAAAAAAAAGAAAAAAAATGATTATTTTTTAAATATGGATAAAATGTACATTTCACCTTAATAAATAATAGAACTAGACAATGCAACAAATTTGGTATTTTCTTCATTGTAACTATGGCTCAAAAGAGAAGCTTTCCACTCAAAAAATGGTACTAAATGCTATTAAAAATTATGGGAACTACAAAGTTTCTACAAATTAAAAAATGTTTTGCATAAAATAACTTATCACCACTTAATCAACCACGTTTTCCAACCATGTATAGAAAAGATGAGCACAACATTGTTTTTGTGTGTGTGTGTAGGTGAGCATAACATTGTAGCCAACTTATTTAAGTTAATATCGAGTGATGGTATACTTATTTATGTTGATAAATAAGTATTAGGCCGATTTTATGATTCTTGAGTAAATCTGGACACATTGGTTTGCTAACTCCTTTGAAGATTCAGTTTCTATGTTTTGGTTAGGAAAAGTTAAAAACTAAAAAAGATTTAAACTAGTATAACTCTACATTCTAGCCCCAAAAAAAACTATATTATATTTCCCTTGTCATTCTCACTTTCCACTAGTTTTGTTAGGAAATTGGATTAAATTCTTTTAGATAGATTTTTTATTTGGTGTGGGAAGTAACTAGTTTTCTAATTGAATTTAGTTACTTGAAATAGTAGTCAAGTAAAGCCTTATTTAACTAGAATTAGATACTATTTTCTACTCTATATGAGTTTAGGAAATAGTATTGGTTTTCAATTGTTATTTGGTTTTTTGACAATAATGTTCTCTATAAATAGGTGGGTTGGCATACTACACAAAAGACACACAAGGAGACACAAGGGGCATCATGTAGCCTTATACATGGGATGTGAGAGAGGGTTCTTGGGAGATGGGAGATGGTATACAAGGGTTGGGTTTGGGTTCAAGTTGTATTCTTGTATAGGGTTTTCCACTCATAATAAAGAACATGTTTCTCTCCGTGGACGTAGGCTCAATGATGGAGTCGAACCACGTTAAATATTGTGTGTCGTTTATCTTTCATGCTTGTAATTTGTTTCTCATTAAATTGTTATGCACTTGATATTTCAATAGTTATTTATTCCGCGTCTGGATCCTAACAAGTGGTATCAGAGTTTGGTTGCGAGACTGGCCTGCTCAACGTTCGTAGTTGGATCCTAGTTAACTATTAAGATCAAGTGGATTGGTAGTTGTTACTAATTGAACAATTTAATGAATGGTATCCTTGTTTCAATGGCTTGGCAAAAAGCATTGATGGTGAAGGATAAAAAGTCGACAAGTATGGAGATGCTTGACGGTGAATCTAGGCAGGTGATTCAAGGGTCAAGAAAAAGGTGGAGTCCAATGTTGATTTTGGACGTGAATCGGTGGAGACTTTCTCACACCTCCAACGGTTGATATTTCATCCTGGTGGATTTTAGATTTTGGTTATGTTTTTTGGGTGGTGTGACATGTGTCCTAAAAAAACAAGGAGATCTAATTTCTATGCGCTAGAAGACTCTGACAGGTACGAGTTTTTCGTTTTAGGTGGAGTTTTGGAAACCACACGTGGCGAGACAGTCCTGAGGATGGGAAGAAATATGATGATTTTACCACTTGATTACCTCAATGGTTAGGGTTAGAACTCACATAAGGGGATCCCAGATTACAAGTGGTGGTGAGAAGAAATCCTGCAAAGGAAAATGGTGAATTGAGGCACATTCTCACGAGTCAACTGGAGGTTGGACTCGGGTAACTACACATGTTCATTTGCCGATTGAATCAATTTGGTGTCAGAACTGTATTGATTCGGATGTGTAGTTTGGTACCATATTATTTGGTAGTTGAAGGCAAATGGTTGCTAAAAGAAATTTTCACCAAGGTGGAGATTTGTTAAAAAATTGGATTAAATTCTTTTAGATAGATTTCTTATTTGGTGTGGGAAGTAACTAGTTTCCTAATTGGATTTAGTTACTTGAAATAGCAGTCAAGTAAAGCCTTATTTAGCTAGAATTAGATACTATTTTCTACTCTATATGAGTTTAGGAAATAGTATTGGTTTCCAATTGTTATTTGATTTTTTGGCAATAATGTTCTCTATAAATAGGTGGGTTGGCATACTACACAAAAGACACACAAAGAGACACAAGGGACATCATGTAGCGTTATACATGGGGTGTGTGAGAGGATTCTTGGGAGATGAGAGATGGTATACAAGGGTTGGGTTTGGGTTCAAGTTGTATTCTTGTATAGAGTTTTCCTCTCATAATAAAGAACAGATTTCTATCCGTGGACGTAGGCTCAATGATGGAATCGAACCACGTTAAATATTGTGTGTCGTTTATCTTTCATGTTTGTGACTTGTTTCTCATTAAATTGTTATGCACTTGATATCTCAATAGTTATTTATTCCTCGTCTAGATCCTAACAAGTTTAAACCAATCCAAACAAATATTTAATGAAGTTTGACAGGTTAAAATTAAGAGCAAATTATCCGGTTGGCCATTAAACTTTTGCAATCATCGAGTTTTGGTCACTCAACTATTAAAAGTCTAGTTTTGACCACTCAAATGTATAAAAGCAAGACGCGAGGCCATTCTGTTAGATTTAGTCGTTAATTTTGCTGATCTGTCCGTTTACGCGATTTTCAATACAAAAAACATGTCAATTTAGGAAGTTGAAAATAGATCTTCAAAGCTCTCAAGGGATTGATCCACGAAACCGGTTGTAACGCAATGACAGAAACGACAACAGAGCATACGCCGCGAAATTTACGGACAAATACCATTCGATTCTGTTAAATCCCAGATCGACGGCCACCAGGTTGCTGTTCCCATTCTTAGGCTTCCAGATGTCGACCCACGTGAAGCTGTAATTCGCCAAGTCCACCTGCTGCAAAGTAGGCAAGAGAAAAAACCAAGTTTCAAGTGTCCCGGGAAACGAGTTCTCGCTGAGTTCAACAACCTCCAATTGAGTTAATCCCTGGAATGAAGTCTTGTAAAGCGGCCCGGACAGATAATTGGCTTTGATCGCCAGCTCAATGAGGTTTGGCGGGAGCTTGGGGAGTGAACCGATGAGTTTGTTGTAACTCAGGTCAAGCCTTCTCAAGCTGCCGATCGAGCTCCACGAGTTGGGCAACGATCCCGAAAGATAATTGTGAGAGAAATCAACCGTATCGAGGGATTTAAGCGCGGTTAAAGAGGGTGGGACTATACTGGAGAAGGAGTTGAATCGAAGTACAAGAGTTTGCAGATTGGTTAGGGAGTAGCGCGGAGGGATTGGGCCGGAGAATTTGTTGGTTGACAGGTCGAGCGTGACGAGCTGAGCGATCTTAGAAATGAGTGGAGTCAGGGTGCCGGCATAATCAGCCGGGTTGAGGGTGAGCTGGGTTACACTGTTGCCACTGCATAAAAGACCGTAGGAGAAATAAGCCCGAGGAATGAAGTAAGAGTCGTCGGAGAAGTTCCAGGAGCCAAGGCATGAATATGGCTTAATTGAATTGGACTTGATTGCGGCTTTGAAGATCTATTTTCAACTTCCTAAATTGATCTTGCTTTTTGTATTGAAAATCGCACAAACGGACAGATCAGCAAAGTTAACGACTAAATCTAAAAGAATGACCTTGCGTCTTGCTTTTATACATTTGAGTGGTCAAAACCAGACTTTTAATAGTTGAGTGACCAAAACTCGACGATTGCAAAAGTTTAATGGCCAAACGGATAATTTGCTCTAAAATCAATATTTCATCAATGTTTCGAATAACTTATTTTCCAATATTAAACTAAAGTCATACGGATCTAAACCAAAACTGTGTTTTTCTTTGTCAGCTAAGTTTTAGTATAAAAATGAGGTTGTTCACTCTAGAAAATCTCAATATCTCCGAACAAGTTGCAGTTCACATCTTTGGATCAATCCTTTTAACGACGATCATCCTCTTACTCCTTTTATCCTTGTAATTATTATGCACACATCTCAGTTCTTAGTGTTTTTTTTTCCCGTTTTGCATTAGTTATATTACTTTATTAATGGCGTTGTATAATATCCTCCCCCCAAAACAAAAAAAAACATAGTAAAGTAGTAGCGATTGTAGCCTAATGAAAGTTAGCAAGAATCAAATCAGTTAGAGCTGAATTGCAGCACTAGAAAAGCGGTGGTAGGAATACTTGTAATTCTTGTATAAAAGGGACGAGCAACAAGGGTGTAGAACAATCTGAAAATTAGTATTGTTTTTATTCATTCTCCTGAATCTTCAATAATATTGCCTCTCTTTCTCGAGTTGCTTTCTCAAGTCTAGCAGCTCCTGATTGAGTTGATTTTCTCCTACACCTTTACTACTCTACGTAACAGAAGTACACAACAATACTTTGAGCAGTAAGATATGATTGATTTAGCATTTTAGCCGTACGTGGTGGTTGGTGAATTCCAAAAACTTTTGCTCTTCCTACTTTCCTTATTCGTTTGATAAATTTTTATTTAGATTTTTTCTTTATTTTGTGAGTGGTATATGGTATGTCTTATTTCTTCTTGTTTATCTATAAGTGAAATGAAAAGGTTTAATTGAATTCAATGTTTAATTGGTATTGGCTTGCGCAGAAATGGCTAAAGCATGGGAAACTGAACAACTATATGAGCCAAAGATGTATATGCCCCGTGGAATTGTGGATTCATACTACACCAAGTTAGAGCCAGTCAGAAACTTGTTTTGTTCTATATGACTATGAAGATCATATGAGAGAGCCATGTTTGTTTTTCACCAATGCCGTTCTCAGGGTACTAAGATATCATGTCAGATTTTGTTTGATAACATAAAAAAAGTGCTGAATCTGAACTTTTTCAGACATTCAGATGTTTTGACTGTTTGATAAATGAAAATTCATTTGCTGAACTTGTGTGTATTTTTTTTAGCACAAGAATTCTAACTGAATGCTTAATTCTGATAATAATCAATAGAATTACGTCAACTACCTTATCTTATCTACCAAATCTACCATTGTTTGTTAATTATATTCAAATTTCTTATCTAATTAAACAACGTAATATTCTCTATCTAATGATTTTCTATTTCTCTTTTCTCCTATTTTAATGACTTTCACATCTTCTCCATACTTCTCATATAATATATTTCATTTTTTATATTAATTTGATTTAAAAATAAATATTATCATTTTTATACTTAAAAATTTTAAACTAATTAAATCATAGGTTCTATTTCTTTTTTGGATGAAAAGATATAAGGGTAAAATTGTCAAATTTAACTTATTAAGCATTCAGTTATAAATGTTTATTAAATAGTATAAATAGATTTAGTATTAAAATTCAGAGATTTATATATTTCTTTTCAGTGCTTAAAATTCAGTAAATTAATTGTTTCAGTATTCAAATTTCAGAATTCAGACTTCAAAATTCAGATTCAGTTTTATCAAATGGAACCGATTAAGTTAGTACTAGGACCTAACAACTTGCTATTGTTGAATTTTGTGGTTTATGTTTTGTTTATGTGTTTTCTTTCCTCTACCTTTTTAGGGATAGACATAACGATTTAAGTTGATGGAATGGCTTGAATTATATGTTTTAATTAATTGGAGAGCTAAAACTTATCAATTAATAATTTGAGGATCAAAAATTAAATTTCGTAACTGTTTGAGGGTCATTAGAGCATTTTGCTATTGTTATTATTATTTTAAGTTTCCCTGTTAGTTGTTTAGTCATAAAACTTAAATAACAATTCCACAACAACTATTTCAACATGTGAAAAGTGAACAAGTGCTTACATGGTAGTATTAATATGCTCGTTGATCTCGTACGGTTCCTCTATAACTACTGGTGATAGAGCTTCCCAACGTGTGGCCTCTCTGAAAGTGTATAAGAGTAGGAGAAAGACACGTTAGCAGACAGATGGGGCAGGTACATCCCATTTGAATTTGGATAGTTACTCCATAATATTTGGCTTGTTATATATATATATATATATGTAAGTGACCTTTTGGAAAGATTACTTACATGTTTATCGGGTTTGCCAAAAAAATTTTAAAAAAAAATCCTAAGCGCGACCAGGAACTAACACTAAATATGCATTCCATATTTTATTATGAACATTTTTTTTATTTTTTCTGCAACAAATTTAAATGCAAAGGCTATCAGTTTCACTATAACTAAGGCGGGACAAAAGGAACATAAACTATCAATTGCACATATTGGACTTTTCTTGTGGAAACCGCCATTAACTTGGCATGCATGATATGGTATTTCTTTGATGATGATATTGGATAAAGAGGTTGGCAGATGAGTACTTTGTCTAAGACGTACTACATTTGTCGATTGTCGATTGTGACAGTCAATTGTAAATTGTTTTTGATTTTGTGGATATTCTTTATTACAGGGAACCTCCTGTTCATGGTGCTGGGGCAACACAAACTCATGATTCACCAAATAGGTATTGTTTAAAATATATAACAGATTATTACTTCAGTGACAATAGCTGGCATGGATTTTACAAATTATTATTATTATTATTATTATTACATTTTGTAATTTACATGGCCCGGTTAGACATGGAGAGGGCAACAATATTCCTACAAGTCCTACAAGAAGTCAAATGGCAAGTCCTCCCCCACCTATAGGGATGTGGCGAGTTCTCCTTTGGAGCTGGTAGACATGGAGAGGATAGCAGTATTCCTACAAGCGGTTGTATGGCGAGTCCTTCGCCCCTTCCATAGGGATGGGATGGCTAAACATGGAGAGGGCAGCAATATTCTTACAAGTCATCGCATAGGGATGTGGCAAGTTCTTCTCGTGGAGCGAGTCCAACCGATAGGATGAGCGGGTCATTCTCGTACTAATGAAGAGAGTCCAAATACAAGGTATTTTAGAAACAAGAGCTATTTTCCCTTTATAAGGCAACTAAACCTGTTTGTTCTTTTGTTAATTTGAGATCCTTTAGTGTTTGTGCACAAAAAAAGTACTTAGGATTTTCAGTTTTCTCAATACAAGAATATATGGATATCTTTTTAAAAGCGTACCAAACCACCAAGAACATCAAATCTATTTTGTCTTTTATCTGTTCTCATGATATGATTTTCTTAAGTGCTAACAATAGGTAGGAGGCTAACAAATAATAATGGATAGGGTAAAATCTCATAGATACTCGGCTTGGTATCTAATCCATTTGCATGATATGGATTAAAGCTATAAATCTGGGATTTTTTTCTCAAGATATGTTTTTTTTTTTTACTTTCCTTTTTCTAATTAGATTTAATGTGACAAAAGGTTGGGGAATTTTATACCGATGTTAGGATAGTGTACTAGCTATCTCAATGTAATCAAATCATTTACTTAACATATGTCTAACTAATAATTATTTAACTAATGAAATGATATCCCAACGTACTGTGGAATTAATTACTCGTAAAGATATGTTTCCATGATGATTATTTGTTTTCATTTTGAACTTTTGTTTTATGATAGATTTCAATCCAACTAGAAAAGTGGCAAAATGTAATAAGGGATAATAAAAGCGGACAAGAACAATCAAAATCTTTTGTAATCTCTTGCATTGGTCCCATAATTGTATAACCTTATTTTTTTGAAAAAAAAAACAAAGAGTCTTTTGCCAAAGTAACTTTTCTTTAGAAAAAGTAGAGGGAGAGCCCATGTATCACACGGGAATTTAGCACCTATGGTTTAAGATACCTTATAGTTTTTGTTTGGTGTAATAGTAAAGAAGTGTAATTTGTAATAAGAAAAAGAGAACTATTACTATTAGAAGATTAAGTGTAACTGTATATTAAACTATATAAAAATGGAATATTAGATAAAAGCGGAATTCATAAATCTCTTTCATAGTGCCTCTCGTATTTGTATGAAGTTAAAGTAGTAGCCTGTTAAATTTAACTTTTTATTGTAGATGGTAATCTCTATTGTAGTAGTGTCTTTCCTTGGGTTGTCTCTAATCTTATAGATAGGTTGAGAGCTGCAAAATTTTTGAATATTTTATTAGAAGCTATTTCTGAGTGTAATAATCCATCTTGAATATTTGTAATTTTTGTAATATTTGTAATATTTAATGTCGTAAGATGCTTGTGTCGGGGAGAGAGCAATGTCAACTATTGGTTGGTTCTCATTGTTGTCATATACATGTCAAAGAGTTAGTGCTATTAGTTGATAATTGTGTAACATTGTTGATGAGAATATATTTATAGTGCATTTTATTAATTGGAAAGGTGTTAGTCAAACAGTTGATCAACAATGATGATTTGTCTGGTGGTACGTAGATCTGCTATTGTAGGTTGTGATTGATTGTGAATAGCAATTGTAGGAAAGTTTGAACATATGAATTTATTAATGGCGTTATTTAAGAGGCATACTTGTTAGTTTTTGAAGGAAAATTTGGATCATACATATTTTGTAATTTCTATTAAGGTGGGAGATGGAGGCATCTGAAATGAGAGTGGCCTGTTAATTTCTTACAATTGTTGGATAATAGTTGTGGTGTTAATGATCCATGAATATTTCATTTTTTTTTGTGTGGAACTTATGGTCAAAATGGGTTGAACTTTTGCATTAGAGATGTAGTATATTTTATAGGTGTCAAAAATTTGTTCAAATATTCTATATCTATACAATAAATTAGGGCTTCAACATTTTGTCCCTGTACAGTGACAATGTATTAGAAGAAAATGTTAGGTATAAAATTTGACCAGACAACTCATTGGCTAAAACTTTCTCAATTAGCACATAATATTTATTACATAACAAAGATAAATGAGTTTTCCATGGTATAATCACATATTCCTTAATGATATTGAATGAATTAAAAAAATATGGATAAATCCATGTATAAAGCAAATGAAGAAAGAATTAATTAAAAAATAAAAATATAATTTATCCTACTTGTTGAAGCATATATATCTTACAAATTATCACAAATTCAAGTTAGTTACTTGTATAAATTAAGATCTTTTTTTCACTACATTAGAACCTTTATTTTTTCTTAAAACTAACATAAAGCATTTGTTTGAAAATGAGAAACAAGGAATAATGATATAAATATATAAGCTGAAATGATACATGTCAATGATTGGGCTAATAGTGATCAAAGTAGGAATAAGAAAAGATAGAGTTTATTTTGTATGGTTGGGATTTTTGTACATTACCTAACCATTGGCGAAGAGCAATTTTGGATAGCATTTTGCATCTTCTGAGTACTATGGTTTTTCATTTTTCAATCACTTGAATAATAGTGCTCCAATTGTGAGCGAGTCGTTGGATTTTTGACAACTTGAGTAAGTTTCCAAGTATTGTTCTTCATTTGAATAAAGTTGATAATAGTTATGCTAAGACTAAAGAAATAGTAAATATGAAGTTTGGAGCGAAAATTAATTAATCATAGATTTACATTTGAAGTCTAGAAACTGTGAAGCCAAAATTAGAATAAATTACTCCCCTAAATTGGAATTACAAGCTATAGGTAGAAATTTTGCATTTGAATTTTGTCATGTCAATAGTTGGGTATTAAAGTGAAAGGAATGGAAGGAAAGAGGAGGTTATAAAGAAACAAGTTTTGATAATTAAAGGAAATGTTTTAGAGGAACTAATCAGGAAGGAGTATAATTCTAATTGATAAGCTCCTCAACTTTGATACTTTAAAGTGAGAGTAAAGAAAAAGAAGTTGAATCAGTTGAGTGTTATGTTATGATTATGGGAATCCAATATAAATATCCTAATGATTTCTATTAATTATAT